GTTGCTCCACAAAAATTTCTTCCTCCAAGTACCCATTCAAAAAAGCTGACTTGACATCCATTTGGTGTATAACCCAGCCTTTTTGTGCAACAAGAGCCAACAACATCCTTATTATGGTATCCAACCTAGCAACTGGGGCAAAATTTTCAGAAAAATCTACCCCAAACATTTGGGCATATCCCTTGACAACAGTCTTGCCTTGTACTTGTTTACAGAACCATCAGGATTGAGCTTGGTCCTATAAACCCACTTGACTCCTATAACTTTTTTGTGTTTAGGTCTATCCACCAACTCCAATGTCTGGTTCTTTTCAATCATCTTTTGCTCCTCCTTCATTGCAGCTATCCACTTTTGATTAGTTGTCGCTTCTTCATACCCTGCTGGCTCCATTACAGCAACATTACACCTCTGATAAATGTCAGAGAGTGATCTGGTTCCTTTAATAGGTTCATCATCAATATCATCATTCTCCTCTTGAACTTCAAGTCGCTTGTCATTCTCCCAACACAAGTTATCTAACTCAAAGAATTGAACATCCCTGCTGACAATTACTTTGTTGCTTTGTGATAAGTAGATCCTGTAGGCCTTTGAAATTGAGCTATAGCCTACAAAAATTTCAGATTCTGCTTTTTTGTCCAATTTGTCTCTCTTAACTTCAGAAATGTAAGAGAAACATAGATAACCAAATACCTTTAGATTAAGCAACTTGGGTTTGTAACCATACCATGCCTCAAATGGAGTTTTTTCCAGCAAAACTTTTGTTGGCAATCTGTTTAGCAGAAAAACTATTGTATTCACAACCTTGGCCCAAAATTTCTTTGGCAGTCCTTTATCATGAAGCAAGCACCTTGTCATCTCCATAATTGTCCGATTTTCCTTCTCCACAACACCATTTTGTTGAGGAGTGTAAGGTGCTGTCAATTGATGTTCGATGCCTACATCTTCACAAAACTTGTTAAATTTCTCAGAAGTATATTCAGTTCCATTATCAGACCTGATCACTTGCATTTTGTATCTGCTTTGAGTTTCAACCCAAGCTTTAAACTTCCCAAAAATGTCAGCAACCTCAGATTTAAACTTCATAAAATAAATCCTGCACATTCTTGAATAATCATCAATGAAATCAATATAATACTTACTGCCATTTAATGAAGGTGTTTTCATTGGTCCTCCCACATCTGTGTGTATTAATTGCTGCTTTTGTGTAGCCCTCCTAGCCTTGTTTTGTTGAAAAGGAAGCCTGGTTTGCTTCCCATATTGACAGGCAGCACATTTAGGAGGCTCCTCCTCTAATTTAGGCAAGTCTTTCACTAGATCGTTCCTCTTCATGAAAAGCAGAGCGGCATGATGGAAATGCCCCAATCTCTTGTGCCAAAGCACTGTATTGCTATCTTCTTTTTGTACAACAGTCTGCTCCTCTTTCATCAAATCCAAGGCAAAGCTTTTGCCTTTCATTTAAACTTTGAACACCTTTATGCCTTTTGAATCTTTAATCACACAATTTTTGTCTTCAAATAGCACCTTATAGCCTTTTTCCAACAACTGAGTAACACTTAAAAGGTTTTGATTAATTTCAGGAACATATAAAACGTCAGAAATTAACTTCAAACCTGTGTGGCTTTCAATTGCTACTGTTCCTTTGCCTTTTACTGCAATGTGTGCTCCTTTTCCAATTCTGAATTTAGAAATAACAGTCTTGTCAAGCTCTCTGAAGAGTTCTCGATCATAAGTCATGTGGTTTGTACAACCACTATCTATAAGCCAGCTTTCTGTGGAGCTGTTAATGGCAAAGCATGATACCACGAACAACTGCTCCTCTTGAGGTTGATCCTCAGCAGCCTTGGCTTCTCCTTCTTGTTGTTGAGCCTTGCATATCCTTTCCATGTGCCCTAACTGATCACACTTGTGACATCTTGCATCTGGCCTCCACCAACACTTATGCCGTGGATGATTGGTTTTTTTGCAGTAGGGGCAAAATGGAAAGTCTTGAGTGTTTCTGCTTTGGCTATTGTTGTTGTTCCTTGTATAACCTCCAGGCTTGTTGTTTTTGTTTTGCTTTTTTGTTTTTGCCACCATTGTTGTTCTATGATTTGGCTTGAAAAGCGCCCTCCATAGATCCTTCTTGCCTTATAAGCCTCCTTTGTTCTTGTGCCTGTAATGCGTTCAACAATTCTGCCAAGGTAATGCTTGACACATCTTTTGAGTTTTCCAAAGATGAAATTGTAGTCTCAAACTTTTTAGGAATTGTGACTAGGATCTTTTGAACAATTCTAGAATCAGGAAAATCAGTACCAAGAAGTCTTACTTTGTTGATAATGCCAAGAAGTCTATCGGAATATTCTTTGATCGTTTCTGATTCTTTCATCCTTGTCATCTCAAATTCTCGGATCAAATTCTGCACTTGCATCCCTTTAACTCTTTCATTTCCTTCGTATTCTTGCTTCAAAAAATTCCAAATTTCCTTGGCTGTTTTCAGTGTCATTATTCTGGTAAAAATGGTGGATGAGACCGCTGCAAACAAGGTTGCTCTTGCTTTTGATTTTCTTTGCTTCCTCTCCTTTTGATTTTTGATTTGTGCAAGAGTTGGATTATCTGGCAAGGGTGGAACTTCATATACTTGTTCAACAGCTTCCCATAGATCATTAGCATCAAGATAGGCTTCCATTCTAACAGAGTGTGTTGTGTAGGATAGATGATAGCTGTTTTGGGTTGTGTTTGGGCTCACTCAATCTCACAAGTCCTCAAGAAAAAAGCTTTGATACCAATCTGTTGGATATTTAGAAAATTAAAGACCAAGGATAATGAGAGAATCTGATTTAGAGGCTGCAGAAGACTAATTTTATTGAGCAACAAGCTATCTATTTAAACAGCATAATGAAAACCAAATTGCAGAAAAATCTGCTACAAGATAAGTATAAAATCTGCTAAGTGCCTAAAAAATAGCATGAAGAAATGGCCATAATCCTAAAGAACAGCAACAAATAAAACTAATTTTGCTCAGCTTCATGAGTCATGCCAATCAACAAGACCAGTAGAAATGAGGGGCACTCCAAGGTATCTGACGGGGAGCTGTCCCACCTAAAATCCAAACATGGCTTTGATTTGGTTCTGTCTCCTTTTGCACTGCTCACATGTAGATATTACTTTTCTCTGGTTTGGCAATGGCCTTGTAGATAACATTACAACATGAAATGGGCCTGTAATCCCCTATGGAAGTGGGGTTGGGAATCTTAGGCACAAAGGCAATGACGGTACTATTAAGTTCTCTCAGAAGGCTTCCACAGGTGAAAAATTCCTTCACTGCAGAGATGACATCCTCACCAATGATTTTTCATGCTTTTTAAAAAAAATAATGCATTGAATCCACCAGGTCCAGGAGCCTTTTGATCATTAAAAGAGAAAAAGACATCCATGATTTCCTCACTGGTAACTTCTCTCACCATTCTGTGGCTTGTTGGTCATTGATTCTGTTCAGTTTTACAGTTTGCAGCATTTCCCTACTATGCAGTCTCGCAGATGAATTTCCAAGAAGTCTTTGAAAATAAGTAACTGCCTCCTCGTTAACATCCTGATCCCCTTCATCTTTTAGATCCATCTTCTCTCATCAATGAGATAATTTTTTCCTGTTTCTTCTATTGTTCATGGACCTATGAAAATAGGTAGTGTTCTTGTCTCCCTCTTTTAACCACTGAATTCTTGATTTCTGCTTGTAAAACATTTCTTCATTCCTTGCAGCTTGGATATAAGTAGAGAGTGGTTGTTGTTCCTCGCTTCTTAGTACAACATTAAGAGGATCTTGATCAAGGCTTCTCTAGCAACTTTGAAGAGCACTTTTTGCCTCGGCTTTGATTGAGACTTCACCTAATGTCTTAGATAGGTCTTTAAATAAGCTCTTTCCTAAGTTTAGAGTATAGCTGATATTGAGAAGTACCTTGAATTAGTTCATTCCATGCTTGAGAAACAAATTTCAAGGAGATCATCTCTCTCAGTCAGGTGGCTGAAAAATCTGAATGGACTTTTCCTTCTTAGTATTTGGAATCCAAGTTTCACAACAGCAAGACTATGATCAGACACACCCTGAGGTAAGAATTCTGCTTCAGACTCTTGGTACTTAGAAATCCAGCTTTCATTCACAAGGACTCTGTCCAGCTTCCTAGCTACACAGCCTTGACCCTTTCTGTTGCACCATGTGAGATGAATACCTGAGTACCTCAGATCAGTAAGTTCAGAATGCTGCATGCAGACAAGACAGAAATTCCTCCATAGTTGTGCTCCATCTTTTTGGGGATTCTTCAGTTTCTAGCAGACTTATAATGGCATTAAAATCCCCCAAAACCACCAAGGGATTATGTGTGAATCTCTTAGGGTGATAATAGAGGTCATTCCATAATGTTCTTCCATCCCTTTCATCATTATGTCCATAGATAAATGAAACATCAGACTGCTCCTTACTGTCAATATACTTTACCTTGCAGTGTATGCTTTGGTCAGTTTCTGCATGCTTGCTAAGTTCCACATTGGTAGGATTCCATCCCACCCATCCCTTCCAAATTGTGGCTTTCATAATTAGCCATGCTATTCCTGTTCCTGAATACATTTTTGCATGATTCTTGAGTTGTTTGTTTGTCTCACCTTTGTCTCAATAATTCCCAGTACATCTAATTGATATTCCAGAATTATTTTCTTTATGTCCTCCTGCTTTGAGTTATCATTAAGGTCCTTTATGTTCCAGCAGGCTTTCTTCATTGGTGGGATTGGATTTTCCTGAGAAGCAGGTCCTCAGTCACCTTTGCTTTCCCCATTGAAGGGCTCTTCTTTTTCACCTTTTTCTTCTTAGTGGATGATGGAGGTTTATTTGTAGATGTATTTTTTGGAGCCTGGGCTGCTTCTTTTTCTTCTTTGATGGCTTCTGGATTAACTTTCAACTCAACCATAATGTTTCCTCCCTCCAGTTAAAGCTTAGACCAAAGAAAGAGCGTGACTGACTTTTGTTTTCTGCTATGAAGATTGTCAAAATATATGTGCATCTGGCAAGGGGTGATAAAGGAAATATTTTTCTAGCTGCCATCACTAAGGATGGTTGTTCATACAACGAATAGGTATTCTGCAAAATGTTTCTCTACGTTCATGTATTAAGTGTGACTATTAAGATCTATATGGAGAAAGGTTTTTTTTCAGAATTTTCGTCATCTCTAGGATTATTGTAGAGTTGCTTGAATGTAATCTAACGGTCTAAGTTTGCCTCAGTTGTTTACTGCAGCGATAGTTGTCCTCAAAAGAATTGGTGAAGACGGAAGGATCATCCAGGAATTCATTGAGCTCGGTTCAAAAGTCAAAGCTGCAGCTTCTGAGGTCATGGACGCGGAAGCTGCCCTTGGGGACATATATCTTACTCTCATTGTTGCTGTAGTTTATAAACAATACTAATCTAACCAAAATTTGTAGCTCAAATGATGTGAAAATTTATAACCCAACAATACTTAATTGGTTCTTTTGGTTTTGCCATATCATTTGGGCTATGGATTTGGTCCCTAATTTGGTCATTTTTGTAGTACCTAACCCATGATAATATTTTAGTTTTTGAGCATTATAATTGAAAATCCTGCCATCAACTGTTTGTTTGATTGCAGTACACTTTGATGAAGGATCCAGTTATTTTACCTTCTTCCGGGATCACGGCATTTCAGAGGCATATTTTAAGTGATAATGTACATTCTTCACTTCTACTTGGCTAATATTTGTCCATTAAAAGTCATGGTTCTCTATTTCTAATGCTGAGAATTGCAGAGCTACCCATTTAATCGATCCCGTCTTACATCGGACATGTTGATTCCCAACACTAAGCTCAAGGCAAAAATTGAAGAATTCATCAGGTCTCAAGTGTTGAAGCGGCATGGAGAAGATTTGAGCATGCAAAGCATGAAGGCTACAATACAGACGACAACGCCTGACGGAATGACATTGATTGATTAGGTCTTTGTAAATGTAAATTGGGGTGTGTATCTATGTGTGCACAAAACCAGGGAGGCGTAAAAAGTTTATTGATCTTTACCACCCTCTTTACCTAGGAATTCTACCAAGAAGGATGCGTCAAGATCAGCAAAGTGATCAATAAAGCACGAAAAGAGGGTTTTGAGCAATGATAAAATAGTTTCATTATGATCTCAGCATCACAAATAAGTCATTGAAACAGTCTATGCTTAGGCAAAGGATGAAATTGCATACAAATGATCCTCCCTAGATCTCTTATTGACATAAACCTCGTGCATTTGATTATCTTGAAGTAGAAGTTTATTGACTGCATGACACTCCTTTGAGGAATAGATCGCAGCACACTGAACAATTTACAATTGTTCGCATTACTCCAAGCCAAAAGTTTCTGCCCATACCATATAGTAGTCAACTTCACAAATAATTTTAGCCAAAGTAATAGGTGGTATTAGAAAGTAGACTACTCCAACTACAATAATTTTGCATCATTTAAACTGTTATTGCACAAAAAAAAAAAAAAAAAACTACCAAGAAATCATCATCTTGTATGGCAAACTAAAGTACATCCTTGAGGAGAAAAGGTTTTACATGGTGAAATAAATCGAAATGCATAAAGATAACAACTGAAAAATGCTAAGTTGAATAAAGTTGTAATGCGAGATCAGTTGAAGCAGATGATGACATCAAATTGTGCACCTATAAGCAAGATTACATCCACATTGCTCAGCAGTGGGGCAGAAATATTCTCCATCAAGTCAATTCACAATCAGACCTTCAAAATCCACTGTCAAAATTGATAAAACAATTATCCACAAATATTATTGGTAAATCATGCTTGTGAAATAATCACACCACTGTGACAGTGATTTACTTATTCGAGTGCTAAATTGATTTGAGAAAGGTAGTTGTGTGAAGAGAGAAGTGGCAACTAAATAGTTGATTGTAGGAGATCGATTTGCATCTGACCCCATCTGCCACCACCTTGCAATTGGTCACAATTTTGGATTCAGATACCAGTTGAATACTAGTGGATACATATCAGATACTTTTCACATGTATCGAATAATTAATAAAATATATATCATTGTTCAATACTTCTCGAATACACTTCGAATAGAGATTTCTCCACTTGAGACACATTTGTCTTATACTTAGTGAGCTGGGTTATATAGAAATCATGAATCATATAAATAAGAATTTCTTGTTCCAAGATGTTCATTTGAACTTGCATCACATATGTCATTATCAATTCTTTATAGTGATTGAGCTGAATAATGAGTTTTTATGATTTATTTCAAAGCCAAATAAGTTCATTACAATTAAATACTAAGTAAAAGTTGAAGACTCTCGAAAAGTGATTCATGTTTAGCTTTAGAATTATATAGAATATTAGATTCAAAACACCCTAAAGCAATTATTTTTCTTTTTTTCTCTTAAAATTAAATAAACAAAAATAAAATAAGAAAGAGGTAGGGGAGAGAGAAGAGAGGTATAGGTGTGAATTAGAAGTTATCTAATATTAGAGGTCGTGCAATGAATGACATTTTTGAGTGGGAAAAAAAATTTTGGGATGAATTTTGTACCGTTGAATTAAAATAGTTGAAAATTAGATCAATCTTGACTGTTATTGTACTTCTATAATTTGAGAATTCAACTTCTTAACTATAATATTATATAGATATATAAATGCATTCTTGTCGTATTCGTATCCTAGTTTTTAATATCTATACATATCAGTGCCGTACCGTACAGTTATCCATGCTTACTTGGGACAAAGTAACAACTGGTCAAACTTAATTCTCTATGCAAATGTTTAGAAATTGTGGATCAAGTAAGGGTAAATCAAATTCTCCATTCCTACACTTTTAACTGCAATGTCATTCTCCATTCCTACACCTTTAACTGCAATGTCATTCTAGGACTAGATGACCAATGCACATGCTATTCACGTGTTTTGATACATCTTAAGCATTGGTCGTAAAAAACTAGGACTACGTGAGCAATACACGCATCTTATTCATATAATTTTGCTACATCTTATGCATTTCAGTGGGTATAACAGCAAAAACAGCACCTGTAAGATTTTCTGGAGCCACTATTTGTCAATAATTCTACAACGGGAAATCCAGAGGTTAGACCGTTTATGCCTTTATCAAAGCTTTCACGTGGACCTGGCTAACTTCCTGTTCGCATACTCTTTGGCAATACTAATTTTTTTTTTTTTTACCAATACTAATTGCACTCTTGCTGTGATGCAGAGAAAATTCCTCAAGAAGAGTCTGGCTTTCTTCCAATGTTAGATCACCATGACAACCCTGTACACAACAATGAACATTTTTTTGTAAACTGGAATCCAAATGCATTTTCAACTCACTATATATTATATAATTTGGAGTTAGATATTTGTATAATTCACATCATTGAACTAAGGACATATTTTCCATATCAGATATGAATGTGCTCACCCAAAATTCGCGACGATTTCACCATCATCTTAACAAAAATGGTGTATTGAAAAGAATATAAACCAATGAGATTCCCAAAAAGTAGATGCCAATGAATGAAATAGTACAACTACTTCAATAACTGACCAAATTGAGAAAAAAACGAGTAAACATAAATTTCGTAGTATGAAGACATTAGTGGAAGTAATGCTGCCACATCTTGTAAAAGGAACGGCCTTACTACCAACTGGTAAACAGAACTCCAAAATGTCTTAAGATCTATAATGGACACACAATGTGTAATTTTCAGTTATCCTGTATAGCAACTGATCATCAACTACAAAGCAAAATGAAAACATTCGCCAAAGTGATTCATTTTGGGATCGTGAAATTTAGCACAAAAAAAAACCGTAGTATGTGCTGGAAACCAGTTATTACCAAGCAAGAAGTCCTGCCACAGATGGCATGGTGCATGAGAATGCCAGCAGCAACAGAAGCATTGAAAGAATCCACCATGCCTTTCATAGGAAACATTATAATGATCAAAATGTCCATTTCGCTATCGATGATGTGCAAAAATCAATTTGACGGATGTAACTTGGGAATGATCTTTAGACATTTTTCTAGTTAACACCTATATTGATGATTGAAACTTGTGAGTTAACTGAAGACAGAAAATGACTCTACATCACTTAAGTATTAATGCAAGCAAGAGACTGAACATAATCAATAATTTATGAATCAGAAGAATATTTTTCCAATGTTGAGGTCGAGCTGATACAATAACTAGTCTGGCAGGCCTATCCATTCTTTCAGGCAGCATTTCAAGACAGGCAGGAAGAATGCACAGGAAAATCTTATCACTTTCACAACAGCAAGCAGAGGCAAAACCAGATTTTGGATGAAGTAAGGTCAGTATACGGCTAACTATGGTATCAACTGGTAAGTCATATTAAAACCCTAATTAATCAACTTCATTTCATCATCAAAAAACTAGTTTGAAAAATGACAAAAAAAAAATAGTATGGATTAATTACATGAATTGAAAATTTGATACAATAGGAATTTTTCCAGCTTAATGTGAAAATCCAAATAAAATTGTTTCATAAATTCCCAACATTAAAAATATACTTGTCTTAAATTTTCACATTTGCCAACGAGTAGTATTTTCATTTATATCAATAGCCTTCCCACACTTAATACGTCAATGAGGGTCCATTTGGATTTGAGCATAAGGAAACATATTTTCAACCAGCCTCTAAATAAATCTATTTGCTTTAAATTGTTTGAACTTCCAAATTGTGCAAACGCAAAAGTCTAAAATCGAAAGAAAACTAGTGAGAACAACTGTAGTCACCTATTTTCATTTCCTACAACTATTGCGGTTGGGCACGACCAGTCCATATCATAAATGGAAACCTGCACAAAGCACCAGAGCCTCTGTCATATGTATGCTCAAAAAAGAGAACTTTTGCACTGGTGAAATATAGAAAAATGCAACTTTATGATTACTGAATTTCAGAAACAGAAGAAGCAGGATTTATTGGTACCACAATTCCCAAATGCATTGTGGCAATATGATAAGCACGTGACTTGAAAGCTTTGAAGCACTGCTCGGTAGAGTTCCAAAGTTCGATATCTAACCATTTCTCAGCTCCCATGCTCACATGACAATTGTCTCTGTACCTGTGAGTCACATGAGGTATCCCATTATAGTTAAACAAGGGGGGTCTACCCTTTCAGTTTAAAGCTTCAATTTTGCAAATTGGGAAGACCTAGGCTGCCCAAAGAAACTTTCAGGAATCAGTACAGGTTCTATAGCATGCTAGAGTGTTCATAAAACTCATTACAAACATAATTCTGCATCTCTAGTAAAATCTTACAATTGACCCTATAGCATAGGATAATATTTAACAAGTGTTTCCACAATTCCTAATTCCTTAGGAGTGATGTACTACTTCAAACTCTATCCAAACCAAAATGCAAGTATCACACTTTCTCCAGGAGCCACCTGAACATAACTTTGCAAATTTTGGTGGGATGGTGGTCCAATCAAATGCAATATACTCTGAATACAATATCAAACAATAAGTTGTTATACTAAACAAAGTCATAATTAGAAACAAAAAACACAAAGTAATTCTCCTGTAAAATCAATGCCTTTTTCACCTCAAATCTTGTTGCACCTTTTCGAGCTGTCAAAGGGCACAACATGAACTGAATGGAACCCTAGCGCATCCACCGACCGAAATGTCGCAGAAACATTCCCGAAATCACACAATCCCTCAACCACCTAACACACCGAATAGCTCTGATTCTTTGCCACATTCCGAAACCTCTCCTTCCTTATATCCAATATCTGCGGGTCAAGCGCTTCCAACACTTCACCGCTATTTAAATGCATACTTCCGGCATCAAATTTATCGAGATATGGAAACCATCGTCCCGATTGGCTAAACTGGTTTTTACTATCCAAATCAGACCTGTGTCCCATTTTCAATACCTGTTTATCTGAACTCTATCAGGCTATAGCCAGGAGTCCTTTTAAGACTTCTCACCTTGGCCATAGCTCTTACCTGGGCTACTTCCGTCCACTTCTCTCCTCCTGCATAAATATTTGATACCAAACCATAAGTGCTTGGGTTTTGAGGCTCCAAATCCAAAAGCCACCTTCCCACTATATCCCCCAACTCATAATTTCCATGAACTCTGCAAGCAGCAAGCAAAGCACCAAGTGCAGAAGCACTTTGTCTTGGTGGCAGACATTGCAACAGATCATAAGCTTCTTCAAGCAGACCTGCTCTGCTTAATAAGTCTATCATACACCCATAATGATCTTCCGATGGAATCATTGAATACTCTTCTTTCATGGATCTGAAAATATGCAGACCCTCTTCTACCAAGCCAGAATGACTACAGGCGGCAAGTACTGATCTGAAGGTTAAGTCATCAGTCACAACATTCTCTTTTTTCATTTGGTCAAACAATTTGAGAGCCTGGACACATCTCCCATGCATTCCATATGCAGCAATCATTGTGTTCCAAGAGACCAAACACCGTCGTCCAGCCATGTGCTCAAATAAAACTCTAGACATGCCTAACTTTCCGCATTTGCTGTAAGCAGTAATCAGAGAATTAATGACAGGTATCCCTATGTTCAAGGATACACGCAGCACATGACAATGAACTTCCTTCGCTAGATTTAGACATCCAAGCAGAGCAAATGCTTGAAGCAGACTTATTAATGTGACAGAGTCGTGACTCAGATTTTCTCTTTGCATTAGCCAGAACAAGGTTATAGCTTCATCAGCACGACCTTGATGCAAATAACCCATCATCATTAATGTCCATGACACCAAATCCTTACATCTTTTGTTTTTGAAGATTCGGCTTGCACAGTGTACAAAACCACATTTCGCATACATGTAAATGATCTGATTAGCAATTTCCGTGTTTGATCCAAACCCACGTCTAAACACATATCCATGGATGCACTTGCCTTGTCTTATGTCTTTCAGATCAGATAATGCAGAAAGTATACTTATAATGGTGCCAGGGTTCAGTCTAATACCTATACCAACCATTTCATAAAATACTTCAATGGCCCGACAAGCAAACCCATTCTCAAGATAACCAGCTATCAGCACATTAAATAAGATAACATCCTTTCCTCAATTCTATTGAAGACTTCCCTGGCCTGGATTAAATGGTTGCATTTCAAATACATATCAATCAGAGCTGTGGTAGCAACAATATCAAGTTGAGCACCAGTTCGCACAATATAAGCATGGATGATCTTACCTACGAGCAAATTCTCCAAGTCAGCATAACTCAAAAGCCCATTTGCTAAAGTAACCAAATCAAGCTCATAATTTCCTTGGACCATTTGAAAGAAAAGATGCAATGCCTCTAGGGGCGGCCCCAACTGAAGATGACGAGAAATCAAAGCATTCCAGGAACCCACAGTCCTTGTGCCCATTCTGCCAAAAACTGCGGCCGCCATATTTGGTGGCCCACACTTCATATACACGTCCATCAGACTTGTTTCAAAGACTTCATCTGAACAACCAATACCTCTTCTAATAGCATACCCATGAACTGATTGACCCTCTTCTAATGCTCCTAACTCTGACGCTGCCTGAAGTAAGCTCACTAAGGTCACCCGATTAGGATCAATTTCTTCCATCTGCATACGATAAGCAACTCTAAAAGCCTCATATGCTCGGTGATCACCAACTTGAGCATAGCCTGTAATCAAAGACGTATAAGCAACAATATCTCTCTCAATTATTTCATCAAACGCTTTAGCTGCTTCCTCAATATCACCACATCTTGAATACAGCCCTATGAGAGATGATCCCACAAACCTATTGATATTTAATCCAAACTTGAGAGCATCAGTATGAATACCTCTTGCAAATTCTAAGTCACCCAACTCAATACAGCTTTTCAAACCAAATGCAGTGGCTGAACTATGAGTAGGGGTGTTAGTGGACCCAAGGGGGGCGGGGTGTAGTCTCCATCCCCGTATCCGCTTAAAAAAATTCCGTTCAATTCACCCCGTTAGCGGATATAATTTTTATTTTCATTTCCGTCCGCGGGTAAATTTCAAATCCCTATCCCCGCTTCCCCTATACCCGCCCAAGCCCAAGGCATATAACATGAAATTTGTAATTCTCTCTCCTATTCTCTCTCTTTTTGAGCAGTCATAAGAGAGAATAGTAAAAACTAAAAACTAACAGAATCCAAGCAAAATATGAGAAATCTGCAATAATAAATGCAGTGCAATGAATAGAGTCAATAATCTCCCCCAACCTGAGTGCTTAGCGTTGTGGGTTTGAGATTAAAACCTTAAATCTTCTTGACTAAAACCTTAAAACCTTAGCGTTGTGGGTCTGAGATTAAAACCTTAAAACCTTTTAAGGGATTTACATTGAAGAAGTCGGAATACAGCATCTATGGTGGAGAGAGAGAGAGAGTGTGTGTGTGTGTGAGTCTGAAACATTATAGCCATCCTGGAATGCGCTCAAACGAGAATGTGAGGAGATGCTGCTGGACTGTTTTCTAGTTCTTTCTTCGCTAGAATAGCCTAAGTTCTCAAACCTAAATCCATCTTTCCATTCACTTCCAAATTCAACAGCAGCTTCAGTAGACTCTTATATTCATTGTCTATACACTTTTGTATTTTTTCTCACCACATGCAACAAATTTTACTTTTCAAAAAAAAAATAAAAATAAAAATAATATTTGTGAGAACATAACGAGACATAAGTAGCAGCAATAATATGAGTAAAGACTTACTTTTCACTTTTTAAGGTTCTTTATTTGTCTTTAACATATATACAGACAACATCCTCTTATTCTTTTTCTGTGTACTAACCACTAATATATCCAATATACACAACGTAAGTATAAATAAATTAAAAAAAAATTGGAATGCTTTTGTTTTTCTTCAAGTGACAAGTTGCATTTACTGTTCTGACTTCTGAAGTATAATCATGTCGCTAATGATCACTGTTGCCCTTCATTTATGAGCAGTGGCCATGCCACTTGGAGTTGTGGGTATGCCAAAGGAGGAGGGGGAGGAGAAGGAGACATGGTGTGACACGCAAAGTTCTTATTGTTGAACTTGCAAGGAGGACCACCGCATTTGGGGATGTAGGTGCACCCATTTGACTGCAGAGACTGTAACATAAGATTTTTGTTTTTCAACCGGTCTCTTTCTTCTCCATCTAGCAGTCTGCAAGCTTGATCTGGTTTGGTGCTTAGAAGGAAAGCAATTACTAGAACATAACTTAGAGATCTCATCTTGTAGGTAGACTAAGCAAAGAGTGAATAAAGGTATGGTGAATATAAATGCAAAGATATGTTATATTTATACCAATCAAGTCATGTAAATTGTATATACGACTTGACTTTTTCATGTTTTTAAGTTTGATAGTAAAGGTTTTGAATATTAACTGATGGGCTTTGGGAAGAAATTAAGAAAATTGAAATTGAATGGGTCAGAAATGAAGAAATTAGCTGGTTTTACCCTCAATACTGAAAGCCTTCGAGCATTATTTTTTTTTTACTTTTTGAATGAATACGTATTCCATAAAAATCACATTTTCTTTTTGTTAGGTTTTTCCTTGGTCATTGCATTTGCTTTTTTTTTTTTTTTAAGATCATAAAATAATACGAGTAAATATTCAATATAACGGTGATATATTGGTAGTTATTGAAGTTTGTGAGGTTCATATATTTATTTATTTATTACTATTGAATGGTGAAGTTACGTGATGACAGAGACATATTATCATGTTTACAATGAATATTTTCTCAAAAGGTAATGTTATATGAACTTTATTTAGTGCTTTTATTTGATGACTTTATCATTCTCTGTTGTTAGATTGACAGTGAACCCCACTATTAGTTCAGACTTTGTTAGCAAAATAACTACAACAGATTAGAAGGCTTTGATGATGTATTTACTCCCCTTAAAGAAATTATGCCCCCACTATGTTGCTGCTGGATTTGTGGCAAATTCCTCTAAGATTAAAAAAGCCAAATAAAATTTTAGATAACAAACTCTAAAATTCTCCCAAGAACAGAATAGAGAAATGTTTTGTATATTTTTATTGAAGTATTTGTATAGGTATTTATAATATCTTAGAGATGTAACGAAGAGACACAACTCTTGGGTCAAGAGACATGTAGCTGTTAACTAACTGCTTAATTAATACAAATTATTAATTGTTTATAAGCTTCAAGCCCAAGATGCCCCAAGTGCCCATCTTTTGATTTTAAATATTATTTTATTTAAAACCTAATCAAGGCACATTGATTTGAAATATTTGGAGCTTCCCTCCAAATCTTCCCACCATCCAAACTTGTAAAATTTGGTGTGTTTCTTCTTTTAAACTCTTACACTCCCCCTCAATTTTTCAATGTGGGATATCTTACATTACTAACTATTTCAAACAATCTCCCACTTAGATAGTAATGTAAGTAATCAAAATCAACTAAAGTTTATGCATATAGAAGATGTATTTCGACTTAAACCTGCTATTAGTATAAACATTTCAAAACCTTGTCAAAATCAATGGTTATTTAAACTTATTAAACCTTGATTTTATACAACAAGATCGGAAATGTCATACACATAAACTTACAAGTTTCTTTAAATGTGTTCACCGTGAGCTTTAGCACCATATTATGGTCTTGTACTACCTCCTAGTTTCATGAACACTTACAAAAGTTTTATTTTCAAACTCTTGATAGAAGCGGCACCACTTATTGTGTTCACATAGGTGAAGAGCTATTAAAGTTTCAAAATTTTGAACTTTCTTGTTCATAAAACCGAACACAAAGTCTTCATTAAGAATAATTAATATTCAACCACCTTTTACATAAGCACTATATATAAAACCTTGTGCTTGCTAACAATCACTATTAACTTGTTATGACCACTTAAATCTTTAAAAATTTCTAAGCAACAAGAAAGGTAGGGTTTCCATTATTAGTGACAAATTTAGAATAGTTTAAGATCCATTGCATTCGTAATGCTTTTAATCATATCTCTCGAGAGTCCTTTAATGAATGGATTAGCCATGTTTTTACCAAACCTGACATAGACAACTGTGATTATACCATTAGAAAGTAGTTGCCTAATATATTCATGTCTTAAAGAAATATGTCTAGATTTACCATTATAAATCTTGCTAAAAGCCCTAGACATAGTTGCCTGACTATCACAGTGCAAAGAGACTGCTGGCATCGGTTGTGGCCACAACTTTATATCTAACAATAAATTTCTCAGCCATTTCGCCTCTTTACCTGCCGTTGCCAACACAATAAATTTAGATTCCATTGTGGAATAAGTAATACACGTCTGTTTCTTAGAAGCCCATGATATAGCTCCTCCACCTAAAGTGAAAATCCAACTAGACGTTGATTTGTTATCATTGATATTAGTTATCTAACTAGCATCAATATAGCCTTCTAGTACCGAAGGGAATTTTTTATAAAACAAGGTAAATGACTTTGTCCTTTTAAGATAACAGAGAACTCTTCCAATAGCTCTCCAATGTTCGGTACTAGTATTACTTGTATATCTAAAAAGTTTGCATACAGAAAAGGCAATATCAGGTCTAGTACAATACATAACATACATTAAACTACCAATTGCACTTGCATAGTCTAATTGACTAACAGATCTACCCGAATTTTCTGCCAACTTGTTGGAAACATCAAATGGGGGTATTAGCTTCTTTAATTCCCAAGTGGTTAGACTTGGAGAGAATCTTATCAATGTAATGAGATTGGCACCAAGCAAAACCCCCACTATGTTTCTTAACTTTAATCCCTAAGATAGTATCGACTTCTCCCAAATCTTTCATTTTAAATTGAGAAGTCAATTATTTCTTAGTATCATTTACTCCTTGCAAATTGGTTCCTATGATTAACATGTCATCAACATAGAGGCAAACTATTACACCATAGTCTTTAGTAAACTTGGAGTAAACGCATCTATCTGCTCCATTATGATTAAAATCATGAGATAATATGACACTATCAAATTTCTCATGCCACTGTTTAGGAGCTTGTTTTAATCCATACAAGGATTTCACCAATTTGCAAACCTTTTTTTCATTACCAAAAAGTACAAATCCTTCAGGTTGTTCCATATATACTTCCTCATCAAGATCACCATTTAAGAATGTTATTTTTACATCCATTTGATGGATGTATAAATCATATATTGATGCTAAAGCAAACAACACTCTTATTGAAGTAATTCTTGCCATCGGAGCATATGTGTTAAAATAATCAACTCCTTCCTTTTTTCTAAATTTTTTTGCCACTAGTCTTGCTTTGAAGGTTTGTAGAGAACCATCATTATTATATTTTCTCCTAAACACCCATTTACATCCGATTGGTTTACAACTAGGTGGTAAGTCAACCAATACCTATGTTCCATTTGATAGAAGTGAATCCATTTCATCATTTATTGCTTCATTTCAAAAACTGGAACCTCTTGATGCCATTGCATCATTATGAGTTTTAGGATCTTCTTCCAAAAGCACAATAATGGGTATCTTATTTAAAATCTCATCTCTACTTCCTTCAACCAAGAAGACTATTGCTTGAGAAGAAATAAAAACAGAATCCAAGTTCTTCTATTTTCTTACCCTTTGACTTCTCCTAGGTTCACTAGGAGATTCAACTCGTTTTCGTTTATTATTTAAAGAAGAAATCTGATCCATATTAATGTCTTGTGTAATTAGAGGTTCAACATTTTATCTATTCGATTGTTGATTGACATTTGAATTTTCAAGAAAACTTGTTTCTAAAAATTCAACATCTCTAGACTCCATGATAACATTCGAGTCTATATCCAACAATCTATATGCTTTTAAATTTTCAGCATAGCCCACAAAAACACTCTTAAGAGCTCTAGGTCCTAATTTGGTTCTTTTAGGATCTGGAACTCTATAATAGGCTATACAACCCCATACTCTCAAATAGCTTAAGTTTGGTCTTCTTCATTTCCATATTTCATATGGAGAAGTTTTTGTTTTCTTTGAGGGTATTCTACTGTGCACATGGCAAACTGTTAATAAAGCTTCTCCCCATAGATTTGTTAGTAGTTTAGCATGCATAAGCATAGCATTAATCATATCTATCAATGTTCTATTCTTTCTTTCAGCCAAACCATTTTGTTATGGAGTGTAAAGTGCACTCGTTTGATGAATCAAACCATTTTCTTCACAAAAAAATGTAAATTCAATTGAAAAATATTCACCACCTCGATCACATCGTAGGATTTTAATTTTCTTTTCCAAGTGATTTTCAACCAAGGTTTTATAACGTTTAAACATATCAAATGCTTGATCTTTAATTCTCATTAAATAAACATGAGTAAACCTAGAATGATCATCAATGAAAGTAATAAAATATCTATTTCCTCCTCT